CTTCCCTGTAGACCAGTGATTAAGATGATATTAATCTCAATTTCCATAGGAAGAACATGAAGCCAAAGGAAATTAAGTGATTTGTCCTGACTAAAAACCACGTTCTCTTGACTGAGTCTGGGGACCTTTCTTCCAAATCTAAGCCATAGCTGCCTGTAAAATCAGGAACTGTTCATCCCTGTGATACTTGAATGATTGTGTTACTGAGTTTCTGTAATGCATTTGCTCGAATTGAATTTCATATCCTTTTTTTTGGTAGGACATTTTTTTTCTAATTTTTCTACAACCACTCCTAAACTTAGAATCATCCACATTCAGATTTGATGGAATATTCTTAGTATCTGCATTTAAGTTATTTGTTCATTTATGATCCTCAGCAATGTAATCTGACCTCCCAAAATAACAGTTGCGGTGCTATAGTGATGTTTTCTGTGGTAAATGGAACTAGCTTCAGCCAACTGTTGACATCACAGTAAAGAAAATACAGCTAGTTTTTCTGACTCTCAAAGGGGGAAAAATTGTCGACCTGTCTCTTTAGCATAATGTATTTCAAGCACTTTGAAATATTTAGTTAGCTAGTTGCACAGCCTTTCACAGACTAATCTTGTCCCTGTACTTATGCTACTTCTCTGTACCCACTTTTAGTATATTGACTTAATTTATCTTCCTTTTTTCTGGCTTTCTCATTTAATACTATAACTTTTGCTGTTTTACCTTGTTGTCTTTGTAACTGGCAGAGTCTTAATCATATGGGGCCAATTTCTTAACCACCTACGGCATTCCATCTTTCAACTGGAGTTTTTGTCTTTTGATCAGGTTCCACTTAACATTTCATTAATAAATTTGGTATATTGCTCTATAATTGTCTCTTGTGGATAAGTCTGTACTCCCTGGTGTGATTTTAATTAGTAGTCCTACAGGCAGCTCATCCTTTGTAAAGATCCCTCCAAGAAGAAACTAAAGAAAGAATACACAGAATATGTTTTCGATTGTGTGCAATCATTCAGCTTTTCAGTCAGTATTTATTTGAATGCCTGCAATTTGCCATCCACTCTGCTGGGGATGTACAGACAAGCAATGTGTCTTGTCTACTGGGCTTACACTAGTAGTTTGTCCAGACAGGTGTATCAGATAATCCAAGACAGTGTGATGTGGGACTTGAGAGAATAAGTATGTGTTGTTACGTATGTATGTGGTGTATGTATATTGAGGAAACTCTTAAGCAACTTTGAGGTGTCTGGGAAGGTGGCCTTTGAGATCATCCGATACCTAACAGGATAAATAACAGTTGGTCAGCTTTTGCAAGGGTGGGGAGATTAAGATAGGGTGCTCATTTGAAAGAAGACCCTTCTCTCTAGCCAGAGGGTAAAAACGTTCATTATGGCTGCAGCATGAAGTCCAAGGGAGAGGCTGTAGAAGTGACAGGGGTCCAGAAAGGGCTTATTAAGTGTTTGGCTTTATCCTAAGAACAAGAGCTTTTTTATTTTTTTTGCTTTTTTTAAGGCCAGGGAGCAGCATGATCAAATTTGTAGTTAGAAAGAGTTCTCTGACTGTGCTGTGGAGAATGTTTTGGCAGAGAAGAGTTGTAGGGAGACTGCTTAAGAGTTCATTGAAGTAATGGAAAGTAGAGATGAGAGTGATCTGAACCAGGGTAGGTTAAGTGGAAGGATTCAAGAGACATTTTGCAGAGAGAGTCCTTGAGAATTATTGATTGCAGGAGAGGGCTGCATAAGAGAAAAAGAGACATGGTCAAGGGTGATTGGAAGTCTTTCAGTTCTCTGTTCCCCTCCCATTCCTCCACCATTGATTTTAGGCAGTCATAGATTTTGAGCTGTAATATCCATGGCCATAAAATAAATATACTTGGACCTAGTAGGACTCTTTAAATTTTAATATATTCTAAGATCTCTGTAAGAAGATTTTTAGAATACAAAGGGTAGTTTTATGTGAGAAATATTCCATGTTAAAAGACTAAATAGCATTACTTAAGATATATAAAATAATTTACAAGAAAAAGTCATATTATTTAATATTTCAGGCAAATGTAAAGATATAACCTTATTTTTAAAATGTTATGCCATTAAACAGCAGTTCAGCAATTCATTGATGATATATATTCATTAGATAAGGAAGGAATCTGAACTTTTCAGTACAGAATTACCCATCCATTGCCCAGCCTTAATGGAAATAAAAATCTAGACATAAAATATAAAGTAATGAAAACATTTGTTAGGTATATAGATAGTTTCAAGTAGTTCGAAGGGTTGTCAAGAGCCATATGTGGTTCCCTGGACTAATGTCGATCAGTGCTCAAATGAAACAAGTTACTTTGGGATTATGCTGCTTTGATGGGGAATCACCAGTGTCCAGTTCACTCCTAAATACCATCCAGACAGCTATTTCCTGCCCTCTCTACATCCATTCTTCTCTCCCTTTGTTCCTTTAAAGTTAACTTGTTTCTTACCAGACGGCCCTTCAATTCTTGGACTTGAGAAGTTCTCTTGAGAGGTGTAAAATAAGATGGAACTGGTACCTTTGTTTTGGTCTTGGCTTTACCAAAATCAGCTCTGTGGTTATGAATTTGCCACTTTTCAGGATCTTGCTTTCTACCTGTGAAAAATGAGAAAGCTGAAGTAGATTAGTGATAAGGAAACTCCCAGCTATGATACTTTTGTCTGCCTTTGCTTCTTCCTGGCCCTGCATATCCAGTTGCTTCCAGGCCTTTGTTTACTGAGGGTCCCGCAGGTACTTGAGATTTGTTATCAGAGCCACCCCTCATATTGAGGCTTCTAAGGTTTGTTACAGCCCCCACTGTCAGAACCAGGGAACTAAAAAGCAGCTACTAGAGAGCTGCCCCAGGGGAGAAGAGGAGGCAATGGAGCAGCTGAAAGTCTTATGTTTAAATGCTAGAGAACCTGCACGTAGGTCAGGAAACTTACCCCTTCCTAACATTCTCTCTTGCCTTCTCTTTTGTTATTTTTTTAATCAGACAGATGTTTGAATTTTTTATTTTCTTTTTCTTTTTTGTGCTTATGCATTTTTGGTTTTGGGGGTCGGGGATGGGAAAGGTTAGGGTGGTTGCTGAAGAGGGGAAAGAAGAGACCACTGAACATGTTTTTAGGAACCATGCTGCCTCTAGGGACACATTTCTTTACAAAGGTGGTAATTCTTTCCTCCACCCTCAAGCCCACCATTTGCTGTATCTATTGTGAGGTACTGCTCTATAGCATCTTTGTGAAGCCCCTCCCTCCTTTGTCAATGTAAATCCTCCTAACATCCATCCTCAAGCTCATTTCTTCAGGGAATGCTAATTAACTCCACTCATAATGTTGATCACCAATCACATTTAAGCCTCCTGGACTTCATGAAATGTTACTCTTTAAAATCTATGTTTAAAGTAGGTTCACATGCAGAGTAGGAAAATCCCAGGTCGTATTGTATATGTTGTAGTATGTATGGTAGTGTCTTCCATTACATACTTTAAATGCACTGGAAATAGAGTGACTTATCACATATTGACCTGTTCAGTCTCCGAGATGAAAGAGCTGAAGAGTAATCCTTCAGCTATAACGTCATTTGACCTGACTTGTTTTTCATTCTCATTGTCATTGCTGTGAGTTATTGAAGTTGATTCACCTTGGAAATGGGCATGTTGGCTTTAAAAAGATCACCTTTGCCTTAAAAATGTGGTAATTGAATGCTGTTTCCGAAATGTATTGCTCCTGCTATGATATTACAAATGGTCATTTTAAAATGTTATGTACAGTCTGCATAAGTTTAATTATAAATTGGATAGTTTAAGAAGTTGTCCTGGTCTACCTTTTTGGTGTATTTTAAATTTGAAACGAATCTTTGAATACCTATATGGCTGCTGGCTTAGTGGGCATTGGGTTCACTGGTTTGTCACTAGAGCCCTCTTCACAGTTGACCACTCTGGTAATAACCAAGGTGACTCCTGTCAATTGGAGGTAAAGCAAATACTTTGCATTAATTCTCCCCTCCCCTTCCACTACTGTCAACTCCCTAACCAACCATCACCGCTCTCACTTCCACAGAAGCAAAGATAATGTAATTGCAACACCTTTTCCTCTTTCTAATACTACACAAGATTGAAAGCTGCCCTTTGCGGATTCCCTTTGTCACGTTAGTTTTAACTTTTGTTTTACGTGTGGAGATCACACTCTTTTCCCTGCTACCCTGAGATGACCAGATTGCAGTCTTCTAACAAGCGAAGAACGAGATCTGATTTATGTTTAGCAAAATAATGGCTGTAGTAGAAATTTGTAAGTTTGTAGAATGCAGAATAGGATTGAATGACTTTGAAGAATCTTTTAATGCGTGCTTTTGAATACACTTTTTTTTTTGCAATGAATGGTCGTTTGAAGATCTCAAAGTCCACTAGAAGTTATGACCCTTACAGTCATAACTATTTACCTCTCCCCTAAAACCCCCTCCCCCACCGTGCTCCCGAGTGCTTACAGTTGTCAACAGTCATGCTGTCGGGACCCACCCCACAGTAGCAAGTTCGTTAATGATATTTAAACATAAGGTGCAAATGAAAGGATGCCTTCGTCCCCCGCTAGGCCCAGGTGGGACTGGCTTGGGGAAGACGCAGCCCAGAGGAGTTTTGCCGGGTGACTCATTCTCAGCACTGACCTTTGCTGTTAAGCCCGCCAGGAAAACGACACCAGACATTGTTAGGATGAAAAACGACCGGGAGGGGCTGGTGGTGGGGAGATGGACGGAGATAAAATTTGGCCAAAGCTACGTGTCGCACAGCAGCGCGCGGCGGGGCGGGCGGGGCGGCCCCGCACCTGCGTGGAGCACGGGCCCGCGGGCGTGCCGCGGGGGCGTGTCCGGGGCGTGGCCTTCGGGGCGGGGCCAGGGGCGGGGCCAGTCGCTGGCGCCGGCGGTTGGAAGGGGGTGGAGTTGCCCTTGGGGGCGGCACCGGCCCTGGGCCCGAGGCCCGTCGCGCCCTCTCGTGCCCGAGCCGAGTGGCCCCGCGGAGCCGGCGCGCTCCCGCCTGCAGGGGGAGGGCGGACGGGGCGGCGGGACCGGCCAGGCCTCGGCGGGCGCTGTTTCTCTTTCACTTTCCTTCCTGTGAGGCCGGCGCGCTGGCGGGCGAGGAGCGGCGGCGGCGGCGGCGGCCGCGGGTAGGTACCCGGCGGGTTGGAGGGCGGCCGCGGGGCCGGGACCCCGTCGCTCCCGCGCTCCCGCCCAACTTTGGGCCCGGAGGGCGAGCGGCACCGGCCCCTCCAGGCACCTGCCGCGGCCCGGCGCGCCTGGACCGGGAGACTCCTTCGGGGGCGGGGGCGGGGGCGGGGACGGCGGCGGCCGGCCCGGGTTTGGGGGCTTCAGCGGCGCGGCCTCCCCTTCGGGGCGGAGAGGGCTGCGGGCTGCGGGCGCCCGGCCGGGGGAAGCTGGCGTCCTCCCCAGCGCAGCGCCGGCAGCCGAGCGGCGTGTCCGCGGGGCCGGCACCTGCGGGGCGGGCGGGGCGGACTGAGCGTGGGGCGCCCGCGGACGTACTGCCGGTCCCGCCGCGGGAGGACGCGGAAAAGTTCCTGCCGTCACTGCGCGTCCTGCTTCCTTTCTGCCGTGGGGACCGGGAGGTGGGGCTCAGGACCTCCATTCCGCCCCAGGTCCCGACGCGCTTCCCCTTTCCGAGAACTTCGCGTCCTGGGAGCTTCCCTGCGAACCTACCTGTGGGGAGGCGGCCCGGCCCGGGTCCAGGGGGAAGGCGCGGGCCACGCACGGGTGGCACACGCTCGCGGAAGGTCACGCAGAGCCCAGGACCAGAACCCAGACCCCTGAGGGTTCATAATGCTCTTTTTGCTGCACCCGCCAGTCTTCCCGGCGGATAGGATGATTACTCGCAGAGCCGGTTTCTTGCACATTCTCAACTCTCAACGGCGATGATGCCTCTTACCTTCCTGGTGGCTTTATGTATACTTACCAATGAATGAACAGCTAAGAGAGGAAAAAAGTTCCTGTTTACAGAATTAAATTTAGTACATCACCCTTTTCATGCTTGTTTCCTAAGAGGATACATTTGTTATAATGAAACCTTTAAAACTTTTTAAAGTAATCTTATGTACAAGTCAACTGTGCAAAACGTGTCTGGAAAAAACTTAATCATTTTCAGCTTTTACCGTGTGCTAGTTTTATGTATATTGTCTCATTTAATCCTCACCACTCTAGGAGACTGGCAGTTCTATTTTCATTTTACACTTTGACAAAAAAAAAAACACAGACTTAGGATAAGTAACATTGCCCAGGTTATATAGACATTTATTAAATTCAACCAGTTTCTAGCAGAGAGTTTTGTAGTCTAATAGAGGAGATAAAGAGTGAATGTATATATATATAAAAACCTAAGTGACTGTTCTACCATATAACCGGTAGCTATGATGGGCACTGACCACCAGGGGGCAGATGCTCAAGGCACAGGCATGGAAACATGGAACAGACTGATGAATCTCAGAGTGAAGGGGGGAGGGGAAGGAAGAGATCTTATATGCATACTAGAGGATTAGTGCACTGGATCTCTAGTATAACTATAAATCAAAATATGTAAAAGGAGCCCTAGCTGGTTTGGTTCAGTGGATAGAGCGTCAGCCTACAGACTGAAAGGTCCTGGGTTAAGTTCCCAACAAGGGCACATGCCCAGGTTTCAGGCTTGATCCCGAGTAGGGGGCGTGCAGGAGGCAGCTAATCAATGATTCTCATCATTGATGTTTCTATCTCTCCCTTTCTGAAATCAATAAAAATATATTTTAAAAATATGTAAAAGGAAAATGTAACAGGAAAGAATTAAGGGTTAAAAACCATGGAGAGATTACACTGAGGATAGCTTTGGAGAAGGGTTTTGAAGGATAGGTAGGATCTAGACCAGTAGTTTTCAACCTTTTTCATCTCATGGCACACATAAACTAATTACTAAAATTCTGCAGCACACCAGAAAATAGATTTTTTGTTGGTCTGACAAAGAAAAATAGGTAACTTGGATTCACACCAGCTGGCTATTGTCATTTTTTAATTTGACAATCTAAGAGAAAAGAAGGCAGTGCCCCTGATAAATGCAATCATGTTTTAAAAATTCTTGTGGCACACCGGTGTGCCTCTTGCAGGTGACAACCGATGATCTGACAGAGGAGAGGAAGGGCTTGTTGGATAGAGGGCATAGAGCCTCCAGAAGCTAAGAAATTTAAACGTTTTTCTGGTTGTAAAGAGGAGACACTGACATTCTTTGTCATTCTTCCTTTGACATTCTTTGCTAACCTGGTAGCAGAATATAAGATAGAGTGAAGGTGAATTGGGTGGCTGTGGATGGAAAGGAAAAGGACATCAACTTGATTTGACTACTGGCTGGCTATGGGGTACAAAATGGAAACAGACCATTTTGATAGGGTCAATAATGATTTTAATTTTGAATCCTTTAACTTGTATCACCAGGAGCTCCTAATAGAGCAGTCAAGCAGACAGAATGCATTACTAAAGAGGTAAAGATGGAAAAACTGGAGTTAATAGCCTTGATGTCATTGGTATAGAGGTGGATAGTTGAGGCTTCAGGAGTGGATCAGTTTGCCATTATTCTGAATTAAATTGTAGCAGGTTTACAGACTAATGTTACAGTAAGGCAATGTTCTCTTCATCTGTTTACCCAATTTAGAACATGTAACACTTGCTGCTAATATAATGGTATTAATACAGTATGATGAATCTAACACTGTTTTCTCTTATCTCTTAAATTATTGTGGAAACAGGTATGGGAAAGCAGAACCACCAAAAGGAGTGATGACCAGCAATCTCATGATAGATCTGGATGTTAGTTCTCATGCCTCAGGATATCCAGTTGGGAACTCCATACCAGCTCTTGGGATCAGACTTTTATCCACTTAAAAAACCCTTCATTACCCGAACTACTGAAGCCAGCTCTAGCTAACTACGAATGGCTACCCAAAGGAAACACTTGGTGAAAGATTTCAATCCGTACATCACCTGCTACATCTGTAAAGGGTATCTGATCAAGCCAACTACAGTGACGGAATGCCTCCATACCTGTAAGTAATTCTGTCATGTACTCATCAGAAGTTATGGGTTACACTTGCACTTTTAAAATTACCGCATTTTGTTTTTATCTAGTTTTTAACTTTTAAAACAATGAGTATTCTAATGATTATTTAACTTTAAATATATTTTCAGGATTGAATTTGTCATTAGGATACTAGTGACATGAAATTATTCTTGTATTATTTAAATTATAATAGTTGGTTTTTTGCTGATTTTTAAGTGTTCTAAAAATAATAAGCATATTATTGGTTATAGTTGTTGTTTTTTTAAGTAAACTGTTTTAGGTTTTTAATTAAAAATTATACTGAAAGCCCTAGCCGGTTTGGCTCAGTGGATAGAGCAATGGCCTATGGACCAAAGGGTTCCCGGATTGATTCCAGTCAAGGGCACATACCCAAGTTGCAGCTTGATCCCCAGTAGGGGGTGTGCAGGAGTCAGCCAATCAATGATTCTCTCTCATTGATGTTTCTATTTCTCCCTCTCCATTCCCCTTGAAATCAATAAAAATATTTTTAAAAAATTATACTGAAGGAATTCATCTGTTCAGAGGCTTTGTTAGAATATGCATACTTTAATCCATTGTTATTTTTTAAACTACTTTATTGAGGTGTGGTTGACATATAAACAGCTGTACCTGTTTAATGTATACAACTTGATGAGTTTAGAGACAAGTATACACCTGTAAAACCATCACCACATCTATGCCATAAACCATTTTATCACCTCCCAAAGTTTCCTCCCATCCTTCTATATATTACTAGAGTCCTGGTGCACAGATTTGTGCACTGGTGGGGTCCCTCGGCCTGGCCTGCGCCCTCTCGCAATCTGGGACCCCTTGGGGGATGTTGGAATGCCAGTTTCAGCCTCATTCCTGCAGGCCAGGCTGAGGGACCCCCCCCACCAGTGCACGAATTTGTGTACCAGGCCTCTAGTATGCATATAAGATCTTTGGTTAATCTCTTTTCACCCTCCCCCGGCCCCCTTTCCTCTGAGATTTATCGGTCTGTTCCATGTTTCCATGCCTGTGCGTTGAGCGTCTGCCCCCTGGTGGTCAGTGTGCATTATAGCTACTGCTTGAACAGCTGGCCAGTCGGTCGCTTAGGCTTTTATATATATAATTTTTGATAAGAGCACTTAACATTAAATATACCCTCTTAGCAAATTTTAGGTATACAACACAGTATTGTTACCCATAGGCACCATGCTGTACAGTAGATCTCAGGCTTACTCATCTGAGATAACCAAAACTTTGTGCCCTTGGACTACTAACTGGTAGCTCAGCATCACTTGGGAACTTGTTAGAAATGCAAATTCTCAGGCCCCACCCAGAATTACCAAATCAGAAACTCTGGGAGTGGGCCCATCAATCTGCATTTAACCAGCTCTCCATGGGATTCTGAAGCACTCAGGTTTCAGAATTACTATTCTAAGATGATCATATCCGTGGAACTCCAAGTTTCTTTCTCAGCTGCCCTATCAGTAGAGAGAGAAAAATTTTTCTAGCCATTTATACCAGGATTTTACCTTTGTGATTCTGCCAATATGAATTTATTTTTCTATTTCAATTAAAGTAATTCCAATAATTCTAGTTTAATGCCTATTTGCACAAAATTAAATACTTTATATATTTACTAGATTTCATTTTACCTTTAGAGTAACCTTGGAGCAGTTTGGAGTGGGAAGAAAGAGAGGGTAAAAGGTTATCTTTATTTTGTGGGTGTGGAAACTTTGAGTTAAGTAATTTGCCTAGTCTCATAGCTAATGAGTAGTGGACCTGTATTCAACTCCAAAGCCCATGCTCTTTCTAAGATAAAATGGTCTCTTTTTTTTTTCTTTTAAATCCTCCCATTCAATTATATTACCTCTGCTGAACTGAAATATTATACCATAGTTTTAAACAGGGGTGCAAAATATAAACACCTGGAAATGGTTAAAATGGCAAATTTTATGTTACATGTATTTTATCACAATTTGTAAAAAATGCAATCACCTAGGAAACAGTTTAAACATACTCATGTTCAGAACTCCACCTGGAGAGGTTTGTTGGCTGTTGTGAGGTCTGAGCAAGTGTATTTTGAAAAACCTTTCCAGGTGATGCTGGTGTATATTCCCTTGGTTGTTACTGGCCCATGCTGTTCAATTGGCAATTAACTATGAACTGTCTTGAAGTACTAATTTACTATTGTCCTATATCATTATTTAACTTGAACAATTACCAGTTAAATGTCATCAACAGATACTTATTGAATACCTACTGTGTGCCATGCACCATTCTAAGCACAGAGGATACAGCAGTGAACAAGATAGTAAAATATCTCTGCTCTCAAGGAGTTTTAGGGGAAACTAATAATAAATATGTGTCACATTAGTGATAAATGCTATGAAGAGGAACAGAGGCAGTTTGTAGATAGGAGAGATGGGATTATTTTATAGAGTGTCAGGTTGGCCTCTTCGATATGATGACATTTGAACAGAAACTTGAAGGGATTGAACTCTGTGAATATATGGGAAGAGCAAGCATTCTAGGCAGAGGGAAGATCAAATACAAGGCTTTGAGGTAGGAATGTCCTTGGTAGGTTCAAGGAAAAGCAAATCAGTTAGAAGACCATTGCTACAGGTCAGTGGAAGATTACAGGGCTTTCACTTAGCCAGTGTCAGCAAACTGCGGCTCGCAAGCCACATGCGGCTCTTTGGCCCCTTGAGTGTGGCTCTTCCTAAGCCTTAGGAGTACCCTAATTAAGTTAATAACAATGTACCTACCTGTATAGTTTAAGTTTAAAAAATTTGGCTCTCAAAAGAAATTTCAATCGTCGTACTGTTGATATTTGGCTCTGTTGACTAATGAGTTTGCCGACCACTGACCTAGGGTAATGAGGTGTGAGATGGAGGTAGGGAAGAGTGGTTGGGTTGTGGATGTGTTTTGGAGGAAGAGCCAACAGGATGTCGCTAACCTAGAGTGGAGACTTTATCTTATACTTCCATGTTTCCCACTATACCAAGCATGGTACCTGGACATGGTCCACACTCTGTTTTGCTTTTCTGCTTCTAACATGTGTGCATTGCTTTTATATTTGGATGTCTCCAGCAATAACTGCCAAAGCGTTTGGAAGAAAATAAGAAAGCACAAATTTTTCATTTTCTACCTATATAATATAGATTTTATATCTGTTCTTCTCAAAAAATATTTGGGGCATAATGAAATCCCAATTTAAATGTAACTTTTTTTGGAGGAAAAACAAAAGATTCTAGAAGTATAAATAACCCATTTATAAGCAAGGGTTATGTTTATGCTTGCAACAGCAATTTAAGGTATAAAAGGATGAGTGACAGTTTAACTGCATTTTCAGTCATTCTGTCCTGAAAAATCACTTGGAAGTTAACAAGCCCCTTTACTGAGAGAGAATAAAAATGGCAGCAGTGTGATTAAAAGACAGTGGAAAAAAACAACTGTGACCTTTTATCATCAACAGAGAACAAAGAACAGAGTTGATGGAGTCAGGTACTCAACCCAGTGTCTGAGGATTCCATAATGCTAACCTTTATGCACATCCAGTCCTTGGAATTCTATGTATTTTTTTTCTTTGTAGTTACAATAGGGCTTATATAAGGCAAAAATTATTTCACTTGTAAAATATTCTCTTATTAGTACTGATAAAATAAATAGTACCACGAAGTAGTGTTTTTCAGTCATTGGTTGGTCTTTGATATTACCTGGTTTTCTTATGTATAATGTGGGACAGATACAGTGGCATTGTGATTTGGGAGCAGTATAAAATAGAAAAGTAAGATGACCAAATGGGACAGGAGGAAAGTGAGAAGTGTTAAATGACAATGTGATACACCATAATATTTTCAGTCGTGACTTAGTCATATAAAAAGAATATCTTAAGATAACTTTGTACAAAGACTATACTTTTATGTTACTATAAGTAAAGAATAATTCTTATTATGAAACTATAAATAAAAGATTTTGGTCTTACTGTTCAAGTTTGAAATATGTAAATAGCACTTTATTAGTGGTGAGCAAAACCAGATGTGGAATCTGCCCTTCTGGACGTTCTGGTCAAGTGAAGAAAGATAAAGTAATCAAGAAATGTATAAAATAAAATTGGATGTTATTACTAGTAAGTGTGATGAAAATACTAGTAATAAAACAGAATGATATAATAACAGGTATGTGTCAGGTTACTGCAGTAGAATGGAATGCAAAAGAAGGAACTGAAGTGTTTTCTGAAATTCCTAAAGCCATAGGTCCTAGGTCTTCTCAGGCAGGGACATTAGTTTTTGGGCAGTGGAGGTGCATTGGGGTCGGAAATAGGGATCATGAGTGGCTCTCCCTGCTTTGATATGGATAAATGAAGTTGCTTTACTCTTCTTTCAAAATACTCTGCAAAGGCATGCCAGCTCTTTTTCTCTCTTCAAATCAGAGAGGTTTTTGCTCTCCCATTCTCCCATTCTCCCATTGAAAAATTCTGGAGCTAACACTGACTGGCTTCTGTGTAGATGTAGAAAGAAGGGCCAGAAGGACCAGCAGGATGGCTCACTGCAGCAGCCCTTGATGTTGTTAGCTCTCCAGCTCAGTAGAAGGAGGAGAAAGGGGCAAGCCAATCAGAAGGAAGGGGGAGCCAGAGATGGCAGGGCTAGCTGTGCCCCAGGATCCTGGCAAGAAGTTGGGGGGGGAAACTTATAAAAGCTTACTATTATCACTTCCCTTCAGCAGGCCAATGACATTCTATAAAAAGATGAAAGTTTAAAAATTTAAAACATAAATATGAGTTTTTAGTTTTAAATGAGAAAATACTAGAGGAACTAAATCTGCATTTACTATAGTTATAAGTCTATAAGGTAATTTTAATAATCCAACAGACCTAAGGAAACAAATATGTTCTCACAAATACTTATTGAATTTTTAAAAATAAATAATTAGCACTTTGCTAGCCTCTGGGTTAGATTGGTTAAAAAAAAAAAGATAATTGGGAACTTAAAACTC